TAGTTCAAAAATTGAATCAATAACACGTTGTAATAATACTCATAAATTCATCATTCATCAATACTTTTGATAACCGTTTGTAGAATGAGATATGATACAATATTATACTCGTATAATAATTGTAAATTGGAATCCACAAAACAAACAAAAATAATTTCATACTGTGATGTGGCGCTATCGCTTATAATATTATTATTATTATAGTCAATACAATTTTATGATGAGTACAAAATTAGTTTTATAATCGGTCGCGGCTCTAAACCGATGCGGTCGCTGCGCGTGTTATCGCAATTTCGAGAACACATTAATTCTCATACGCGCATGCACAAGTCAACGACAAACGCATAAAACTATTTTTTTGTTCTTTTCAAATTGGTGAAAAGAGGTAAAAGCTGGAACAAAATTCGTCTAGTTCTGGTAATCGGATTATATATTTTTTAATATATTCTAATTTCTCAACTTTTCTTCTATGTTTTGTAGGAAACGGATTTTTGATTATAGTTCAAGTTATTTAATAAAATGCATTCAAATTTTTATTTTTTTTTAAAAATTAGCATACAAGTTAATAAAAAATTAAGAAAAAATAATAAAATTGTGGTTCCTACAAAACATAGTAAAGAAGCTAACAAATTTAAATATTTTTTCAAAATTTAAATCGGACAATTAGAACTAGGTGAATTTTGTTCCAGCTTATTGGTCCAAATGCATGAAAAATGTAGGCTGCTCCAGCCGCCTTAACTGAAGAATTTAATTATAATTTTTTTAAAACACAATGTACCCATTAACATTATTCAGCTCAAGGATCGTAGAGGCAAAGGGCGAACTTCCATCACCACACTGTTATTATTTTTGTAATTTAAATTCTAGTTCAGTTACAACATTATATAATGAGACATTAGTCAAATCCATATATATTTTCATTGAATTAGTTTAAAATTTGTTTTAACCAAATAAAGAATTACTTAATTTCAAATATCTATTATTTTAACATAAGACTGAATAAGTTTCAGAAATGAGAAATAATATACAATTATCAACAAAATTATTTAAAACATGTCAACATTTTAGTATTTAAAATATACTCTAAAACTATGAATAATAAATACAATAATACAAACATATCATAGTTATATTTTTTACAAACTTATAGTTGTAAATTTACTTTTCTAAATCTAAGAAATATTTAAAACCTATAAACCCTTTTGATGAAATAGTATTTTGAACAACTTCCTGGAACGATTCTAATGGTAAAGTATTATGAGCAGGTGCAACTAATTTGTTTTCTTTCATCAATTGTGAAAGTGCTTCATACATTTTATCCTGTTGCTCTGTATTAGCATTTTCTCTATGCCACCTTGTCATCCAAAAGCCTCGAAGTTGAATGTCTTTAAATATAAATGAAGTAGTTGGCGCAATGACTGGTTCTCGCGACATTCCACCATATGTAACCATCACACCACCATTATCCAATGTTCGTAAGATTTCAGTTGCACTCTTCCCACCAACATTATTTAATCCCAAACGTGGTTTAGGTAAGGTTCCATTTTTAAACAGCTCTGTAGTCCTAAGTATAAAATGAAGAAATAAATTAACGTATTCAATTAATTTTTTTAATATAGAGATATTAAAAATACAGATGTACAATTAACCTTAATTCTTCTTGAGTAAGTACATTTGTTGCACCAAGGGACATTAAATGATTTTTTAAATTTTCTAAATCTGGTTCAGGTCGACTGCGTATAATATTAACGGTTTTAAAACCAAATATCTTTGCCAACTGAATAACATTTTGTCCACATGCACTATTTGCACCATTTTGTATAACTACATCATCTTTGTTTAGAGAAACAAAATCATGTAACATACGGTATGCAGTACACGGATTTGAAGAAATACCACTCAATGCATACATATCAATGTCTTTGCTCACCTAAAACAAATAAAGAAATTTAAAAAATATATGTAGTATGTAATAAATTACGTTTGATATATATTATTATTATTATTATGAATATATAATTTTTTAAAATAAAAAAATAATCAATACTTAATAACCGTTAAAATGATGCACTGATAGTATTAATTTCATTAAAATAATAAAGTAATATTTAAATACCTAATATGGTTGTATGTAGCCTTGATTATTAAGATTGTTACAAATATTGGTGTAAATAAATACTTTATTTTGTTGTTTTAGTAGAATTATTCTTGAAATGCTAAGACTACATTTTGAAGGTACAAAATGAACATTGTGTTATTCTATATAGGTATTTGGTTAGTTATTGAAATAAATTTAAATATATGGACTTAACTCAGCATAAAAATAATAATTTCTAAGATAATTGACAGAAAATTGAATGAAAATAAAATCGCAAGAATGTACTAAGACATGATATCCATAATATTATTATAACTGCTTTATATTAATGTTATTGTCTGAAAACAAAATATATTTTGATTTCTGTTCCTTTTTAACTGTAACAGTAAATTCATCATTAATCCTAACAATTTTTATTGTAAGTTCAATAAAAAAAGAACGTTTTAGATTCAACAATGAATACCACTGACTTTTCTGAGTTTTTTAGAATCAAAAATCCCTGCCGTACACCAAGTACCGATAGCACCGGTGTGTACCACTCGATCGCCGGGAACTAGATTTTTAACAGCAGATCCGACAGCGAGTACTTCTCCAATTCCTTCAAAACCAGGAGTGCTGGGTAACGGTGGTTTAACTGGATACACGCCTTGGATTGTGTTAATGTCGGAAGGATTGACCGGTGCTAAGAGCATTTTCACCAAGACCTGTGAAAAAGTCCACGGCCCAGTAAATCTTCGATATGTAACATCAAATAATAGTCAACACCCGGGACGACGATTATGATATTAATTGACTAACCTGTTGATCATCGGGTCGGTCCGGTAACGAGCATTCAACGAGTCTGGCGACTTTTGTGGGATCGCCGAATTCGTTGAACACAATTTTACGACAGTGAATTTCGTGACGCTGGTTCATTGTAAACGGGCGTGACACCGACAATCGGCCGATCAGGCGGTAGCAAACGTTCCGAAACATGGCAAATGGACAATATTCAAAAACCGATCGCGAAATGTTCCACAGTAACCGTTCCCCGGCTGTGCGAATGATAACCATATCACAGACTATAGTCTGTGACCATACGATAGCATATGATAACATACGGCGGTATGTTGTTATTTTCGCTTGTCAATTGTTACCATAGACCTTATAGTGTCACAGAATTAAAGTGTAAGGTCTATGATTGTCACAGAAATTGTGCTCAATAACGCGATAGCGTTTTCAAAGGTAATACAACAGCTGTGATGTTACCATAGAGTAATAGTTAGTTACTAACCTAACGGTGGAGAGGTATCATTCTACTTACTTTTCTTTGTATGTTTCTTGAATTTTTAAAAATAAACTTAACCTTTTCTAGTGTTTTATTAATTAAATTACATTAATTAATACGATAATGATGATTTATGCCTTCCAAGTGCTTTGTACCCGGTTGTAATTCTTATCTACCAAATAAATAAGTTAAAAAAAATAATTTAAATTAAAGGTAAAAATATATTATTTTTTAGTACATGACTGTTATTTGGAAAAAAATATTCCATGATCAAATGGAGCCTTGACTAAAATGATGGAGTATGTGAACTGCATTTTGATTCTGAGGATATTATTTTAAGTAGAATTTTTGAGGATACAGATCAAAATATATGTACCTTCTATTACTGTGTTATGTACTATACCTTGTATTTTCCCTAACCTTTATATTTTAACAAAGCTATAAAAAAAACGAAGACTTCCGACAGAAAGCCCAACACTGATAAATAATGTAAAGAAAAATAAACCTGTCTGGAGCATCAAAATTAATAAACATAGTATATAATTAATTTCTATTCGAACATGAATGATATTTGCATGTAAACGCTATAATGAATAATTTCATACAAAAAAAAAAAAAAAAAAATCAAAGAAAACATCAAGACTAATATAAATTAAAACTACAGTTATTATAAATTATTTGAACTTTAATAAAATATTTGAATTGAAATGTCAGAAATAATTATTTTTATGTTAAATATTAACTAACTTTATTGAAGCAACAGGGATAAATCAGGTACCACTTTGCGCCGTAGCCATTCATTTATCATGAAAAAATGTTATTTTTGAGCCCTCGTCGGGTACCTATCTAGTGCTCCAAGTGGCAATTGTCAGTGATTACACCTCTGTATATCTATCCAGTGGCGTAGAAAAACTCGCTAATGCCTCTATACACCTCAGAAGAAAACTCCTTTTAACCAATTAAAAATGTAATGTGAAAGCATTTTTTTTAACCTTTAATTTTACTATTTTTTTTTTTTAAGAATACAATTTATATTTATAAGTGGTTATTACCGTGGTTATTTTAAGCTTTGAAAATTTTCTTTTCCCGCTTTAAGACTGGCAAATTTATCAATAATTTGTTCATATGAAAATTCCTAAATAAATTCCGTTGTTCTATTTTCAAAATGCCGTCATTAAATTTACACGTAGTGTGTGCAATAAGACAAAATCGACATATTTCAAAAAGTATAATGGAACAATTTCGTTTTAAATGTTGAATAAAAATACGACTTTTGCATCCTTTTACAATTCACCCTCCTGGCATAGGCCCAGTCCGCCATGTACTTGCTACTCCACTATATCCTTCTTGTGTAGCCAGTTCGATAATCACGGGACATGATTATCTGTGATTTAAATTTAAAATTAGATTGGTTCGGTTGAAAATTACACATGTTCCCAACTGTTGCACGAACGATTTAGCGAGACTTGATCATCACAAAATTTCGACAGTTGATATTATTTCGCAGTATAAAAATGCACTTTATACTTAGGGCCGTTCTAAAGGGGGTCTTAGGGGGGTGTCTCAACCCCCCCCCCTCCAACGAAAACACCAGTCGGCACTCGAACTTATTTCATTATAGCCTAGAAGGACCAAATTTTACTTACGGAAAACAAATATTACATATTTCATAATACAGTGTATACACGAATAAAATTTATATTAGCTACTACTTATACAATATAAAATATTATTATATACATATATGTATAATTATATTGTCAATTATAAGAACGTGCGACACTGGCACATATATATATGTTAAAAAGTAAAAATATGATTACATATAGTTAATTATACTACTTACACAAAATAATAATAATAGTAATAAGTAAAAAAATTGTAGTCTGCATTTTTCATATTATTCAACCCTCTTGATTTTCATCTTCGGGACGGCCCTGCCTATACTTCTATTCGTTTTTCTGTATCATTATTTGTAGTACCAATAGTAACTACACAGCATTATTTTCTAACCATTCAAACTTGACGTTTTTAAAACAAGTCACGCAGTTAATGCAGTACGATCGACTGAATATCGTCGTTCCATGTTGTTGCACCTCAAACCGCTCAAATCGCATTTCAATTGCGTTCGAATCGCAAAGCGTTTGGCGGAGTGCGCCCAACGAGTTCGAATATCGGCGGCGGTCACCGCGCCAATCGTTACCATCGGATGTGCGTTATCACGGAACCTGTCGTGTGGTATAACAATGTTATCAAGTACTTGGATGTCCCGTCGTCGGCTGTTTGCTGTAACGCCTGCGACTGCACAGTTCACGAATGAAAATTGCCGATCGGCTACCGAGCACACTCAGCTAGCAGCACATTTCTTCCCCGATCCGGCTTCGAGTGTGCTAAAATGAGCAAAACGTACAAAGAAGACGAGATCAGCATCCGAGTGGACCGGTGCCTGTACGATTCCGCTATAAAATTCGGTAAGAGGCGTTGTTTGATGTTGACGCTCGGTCGGTCGACCTCTAAAGGTTTTACCTTCGGCACGTTTTTCTCGTTCGCGTTCAAATCGATGTTATTGGTTTACCGCACGATCACCACTGGTTTTTGGTATTCATGTAATAGAGATGTAGAAAATAATTTTAACAAATCTGTGCGCCGGTATCAAAACGAGTTGACCTACTCGTTCGTTTACTGCTTTTGAAACTATCAAATCGACTTACTTGTGTTATAATTACATAATACGTGGTAAATACATAGGTATTTAAAAATGTAAAAGAAAAAAAATCGATTTTCAATTGAGTATGCATCAATGTCTACCACACGTTTGAAAATAAATAAATTCAACCAGGTTGCGTTTGTTTATGTGTTGATCAGTCTTGTTAGTCTTAATTTCAACTGCTGCATAAATTGCAGTATCCTGTTTGAGCCAACAGTTTTCCATCTATAATTTTAATGTAATAACAACATTTTATTTTCTAGGTGGTGGCCTAATAGTCGGTGGTGTAGCATCCCTATTATTTTTCAAACGTAAGTACAATATTATCTGAAAAATATGTTGTTTACTAAAAAATAGTATAATTATAATTATTAGAAATGCATAGTATTATTAGAGCAAATTAATTTTTCTTAATATTTTAAACTGTAGTGAACGCTTTTGTCGAAAAAATATATAGTTATATAAAATGTACTAAAACTTTACACATGAATAGAAATCTTGCAGGGCAAAGTAATATATTATTTTTTTACTTGCCATAGTATAGAAGAAATGTATATATTTACTATATTAGTGCCGGATTTCCATTACCAATTGAGTTACCCATATGCTCTGAATAGTATTTCCATCATGTTTTCAATTATAACAAACTATTTTATAGATTTAAATATTTATATCATCCATAAACTAGAACAAGAAACATTGTGTTCAATAATAACTAAATGTTGTATGGATAATATTTTAAGAAACTAGTCAAACTTATTTTTCTTATTCTGGCATGAATATTTTTACTATATTTAGCAATGGCTCCAATGCCAAATTATTTTATTATACAAAATTAATAAATATTAAAATTAAAATCATTTATTAAAATAATCTTGTAATATATAAACTCTAATAGTTAAATTGTTATTTTGTTATATTATCTAGGTAAGAAGTGGCCGCTGATCATGGGCTCTGGTTTTGGATTGGGTCTAGCATATGAAAATTGTGAAAAAGATTTAAAGGAATTTTTCACTAGCACATAAAATATGTTATTAGTGTAAGAAATGTTCAATAGCCTTAGACTCCAGAGTCAAATGATGTGTTGTTTATACAAATGGTTTTTCCTCTATGTTCATCTTACTATTTTAAGTAGTATTTTTGTTTTCAATTTTATTTTACAATATATATAAAGAAAAAGATGTTTTGGTCCAAAAATGTTTACATTTATTTGTACATAATAATAATAATAAAATGCTTCAATAAAATACAACTGTAAAATATTATAATACAAATTGGAAGTAAAAAACATTGTTAATGTCGTTTATCAGCTAATTATGAAATAAGTTCAAGTGTAATTTTAAATTTTGGATGTCATTACTGAAATAATAGCACATATGACATCGCAATGATTGATACAAACTTTTCTTACTGGGGGGCAGATTAACGTATCCCAGTGATTGTAAATCAAGAATAGCTTCTGAAAACAAATAATAATTCATCAAGTTTAATTATTGTCTACATACTAGGAAAAAATTAATATCATAATGATGATTGCAGTGTTGTAAAAACCTATATCAGTTTTAATGTTATTTTAACAACTAGAATTTAAGTTTAACAGTTCTTGTTAATGTTTGCAGTACACAATGATATTTCGTTGGAATTCACCCTAATGATAAATTAGTTTCAGTATAGTTACATTCCTATGTACAGAACATGACAGTTAATTACGAAATAATTGTAGTTTATAATTAATTTTATAAAAAATATAAATTGTAATAAGTCACAACTTTACAAATAAACATTTTACTATTAACAATAGTAAAATAATTTCACAGATTCATTTTTTTGTAATTAATTTAGTTCTATTAAACAATCACTATATTATAATATATACATAAATTAGTAGAGTAATTTTTTTAAATTTTTAAAAATTATTGTAAAATTCATAAGAAAAAACACTGGACGGATGGGCTGTTTTGTCAAACTATGATAAATTTGGAAATGTTGAGTAAGAACATAAGCATTTTTACATTCTCGTTGAATATAGTTGAAGATTAAATCAAAGTAGTAAATAATGTTTGTAATATAAACTCAAGACTATAAATAATTAAAATCTGAAATACATTTTGAAAATAGCTACTTTTAATGTCCATAGTTAAATTCTATAACTTGTCTAAAAATAATGTGATAGCAATATTATGATTAACATATTAAATTTATTATTTATAGTAGTTTATTTATTAATGATTAAAGTTAAAAAAAATGTAAGGTTCAATAAATAAATACTAAAAATCTTTTTTAGAGAAGAATATTTTATCATGAATAAAGTAGTAGATACAATTTGTTAAATTTTAATTATTTATGATAACTTAGAATGAATGATAAAGTAATATATTCAACAAGTTGAAATAAATTAACATGTAAAATGTGTTGCTTACATGACTATCAATTTGTTATCAATAACACCAAAAAAGAATAGTACCTAATTCTAGAAAAATATTTGTAATGTAAACACATACAAAATTGTATTTTATTTGGGAAGTTTTAACATTTTCTCAAGGAGGGAATAAGTCCTATGCAAGTTAAGTGGTACAGATTATATTTCCACACTTGACCGGCGGTTGATTAAAAACAGACAGGCAGTCAATAGCGATATCATAAAATAAAAAATTATTTCGTCAATATATTTACTATGAGTTGATACGAAAAATTCTGTATGAAATGAATTCCATTGATGTGGTTGATTCATATGAGTTCCTCGAAAATCGTTGCTCAAAACGTGCAAGTGAAGTCGTTCCATCGACGGAAAAGCATGAAATCCAACACTACAACACGAAGTGGAGAATTACACCGGGAAACCATTAACGGTTTAAAGGCGATCACGATCGGCTTACTAAAAATTTTTCACGGGCAGTCCAGTTATGTGCCTGGCGAACTCCAGTCCTACGAGCTCCATATAGATGAGCTTGGGAATGTGGTACTTCTTAAGCGACCGCAATTGCTGTATGTTTTCTTTGGGCAGAACCAAATAGTGGTGCTCGGACTTCGGGTACAAGTCGGCTATGATGGTGACGAACTCGTCAGAGTACAGCACAACGGACGGATTTTGCATGGCCAGGACAAGATCGTTTCGCAGACGGCCACCGGTAGGCGCGGTCATGGCGGACGTCGTGGATCGCGATCAGCTCCGGCGTCCAGACCGTATCCACTAGGGCTCTGGACGGGCGTGCTCCTAATTCAAAGAGTGCAGGCGGAAAAACGATTGCCTTAACTGATCTGGGCGCCAGGCGATGTTCAAACTACGGTCGTATCATCCCCACCACGGTTGCGTTCCGGGGCGGTGAAAATGTGGTACTAACCGTGACTGCGGTAACAACAACGGCGTTATCGTCCCATGGGGGCCCGAGATAACGAATTTTATTATGCGTATATTGCGTATATGATTGTACGTGCCAGACATTGTCTAGTACTCGCCACTCGCTAGAGAAGGCTGTGGTTTTATCAGATACTTTCTCAACCGTTGCTCTTTCTGTTTTGTCGTGCTCGTATTCGCATATCATCAGCCTTACGCCGTACAAATCGAAACATCGATTAAAAATACCCTAAGAAACGAATTAAAATTGTGGCTGCGTGCACCCGTACAAATTACCTGAGTGAAAAAAAAACCTCCGTCAACGACGGGCCCGAATTTTCTACGACTGCTTTCGCCCACCGACTGTTTTTCGTTATCTAAACGATGCTGCGCGGCCATCGTTCGATCATTTAGCCAAACGTGTATCAACACGCTTGCAGCCGAAAAACGTGGTTAAAAAGTAATCGACCATCCGTTGCATCTTTAGTTTACGAACACGATTGAAGATTGGACTGTGCTATGGCCGAAAAGTGAGTGTACTGAATGAGTGAGTGCTTGGGACCAATCGTTCTTACCTTTAGTGCAAATCCTGCATAGTGCCCCTAATAATTATAAGTCAGTAGGCTATTTTAATTAAACACACTATATAATTTTCGCTTGTGTCCATGAAATTGAAGATTGATGCCTTGATGAACCAGTCATTTTTCTTGGTCGATTTTCTTTTACTAGAATTTCAATTTCCAATGGTTTTTTTCCATGCACATTTTTGTATACAATAAATATGTATAGTTAACATGCCAATGTCAATCAATATCATTCATTTATTGTGTTTAACTATATTCTTGTCTAATGTCAAAAGAAAAAAGAAATACATTGTATGCAGTCTGTAAAAATATTCATTAAAATTTATTATAATCTAATAACCTTAACATAATAAATGTATCATCATTTTAATCTAAATTGACCAATTATTACCAAAACAAAATAATTTTAGTTGAAAATGGTGATCTCCAAATGTTAGAAAGAAAAATATATGAAGATATTACATGTTTATATAAATCAAATATCAATAAACGTTAAAGATAAATATTATTTGTTATATTAACTTTCTTAATGTCTTAAATTTTATTTTCTATTTAAGCTATTTATTTCAGACAACCTAGTGATGTTGAAATCATTAATGAAGAAACCATAGAGAATCCAGAATCTAAAAACAATGAAGGAGGTGGATGGTGGGATTCATTGTACTCTGCAGCCAAGTCTAAAGTATATTTATTTTTGTTCTATTGTTCAATAATTATAACTGAACAAGATCATTTTTAAGTAAAAATTATTTATTGTAGTCAGCTGAGGTATTGGAATCTGTTAAACGTGATCTTGGTGAATTAACAACAATAGTTACTACTGAAACTAGTAATATGGTCCTAAATACTACTAACGTTGTCAAAGAGACTTTACAAGTACGTAAATGTCTTATTTATTTATTAACTTAAACAAATTATTTTTATTTTTTATTTTTTCAGTTGGAAAATCCAGAATCGACAGCAAACACAATGAAGAAATCAGTAAGTTCGTTTCTGGATCAGATGTCAAATGCTTTAAATCCTCTACCTGATGATGACGACGAAGCATTAATGATTGTTGGTTCAGATACAGTTACACTATCAAGGCTACAAGTAATATACTTAATTTGGTATTATAACTCCTTTTTTTGTGTATTAAAATTACATTTTGTATGATATTTTCCAGGCACAAATATATACTTTAGCCAATGATCCTAATACATTTTTAATGGAAATTGATGACCAGCTAGATAAAAGGTATAAAGCTTGGTTGGATTGGGTAAAAAGTGGTGACAGTAGTTTGTTATCTAATGAAAAGCTTACAAAAATATTAAATGAGTGTACTCCACTGCGTGATAATTATCAGAAACTTGTACCAGACTCTGTTTCCCATGCAAACTTTTGGTATCGATTTTTATTTCGAAAAGCATTATTGGAAGATGAGAATGCTAAACAACTGAGACAATTTGAAAAAGAGAAACAAGAAGCTGAAAGAATAGATTTCAATAAAGGTATGTTGCTAGTGTTAATCATAACATGATTAACACTTTAATTCATAAAATTAATGTTCAAAGGGTTCAAATTAGTTTACTGCAATTTACAGAGTTGACTCCATTATCTGATGTAGAATTATCTGAAAAAGAACAAGAAGAAATATTGTCATCGTATGATCAAGAACGAAGAGTATCATCAAAGTCAAATAGTCCAACAGAAGGTAATACAATAAAAGTATTTATATTTTATTCAAATTTTGTAACTATATTAAAAATTATAATTTTTAAAATATTTACTTAGGTATAAAAAAAGATTCTAAATTAAAACAAGAAGATATTCCATCCACTGCTTCTTCAGTTACCACTTCAAGTTTGGACAAAGGTGATTATAATAAGCAACCTAAAGTAAAAAATATTAGTTCAAAATGATGATGAACAATCAATAATATTTTTAAGAACAAATTTGCAAAGTTAACTATTTTATTCTATAAATAAAATATTTTAGTAAATGGGAGGGTAACAGAAAAGAAAAGGTAATACTAATTAAAGATACTAGGCACTAAACACTAGCAATTTTTATTTTTTTATCTGAAATAATTTTGAATACTAATTAATCATTGCTCATCAGTAAGGTTGGGATTTTATTGCTCTAAAAAATAGCAAAAAATGTTTTAAAAAATAAAATAAATACTTTAAAAATTATAAAAAATGTATTTATTATAGTTTAAAAACGATATTATAAAAATCATGTTACCAAACATATTTAACTATATTTATTTAACATAATAATAGTAAAATATATACTTTTTTGTTTAATATTTACATTTTATTTAACTTTATTAAAATTTGATCATTGTTAGATTATTGCAAAGAGAAAAATGTCTTTTGACTATTTTAATTTTATTCTATTTTTGATAAAATATGTACATGGGTTAATATGTTCGTATTGATTAGTTTATCAATTTAGTATATTATATACTAAACGTGTAAGTTTTGAACGAAAAAACCCCGAAATATGTGAATAAAGACCCTAATATATAAGAACTAATAGATAAATTCTGAAAAATGCTCTAAAAACTTGAAAAATTTCATTAATACAGCAAAATATGCTCTTAAAATGTATTTAAAGCTAAATTTGTCATTAAATGCAAAATAAAAACTACATTAATCAGTATCACTTGAAACACATTTTGCTTATACATTCTGCTTATGGACCTCCGTGTTGGGGCATTAAGAAAAAAGATCTATTTGCATCAAAATCCCAGCCCTACTCAGTATATTTTCAATGTGAATTGATGTGAAAATAAAACTTAAATTTAAATTTTTTATTCGAAATTCACATTGAACATACAGATTTTTAAATCATACTTTTATGATATTAAAAGATTATTAAGAGCTTATTTGATTAAGTTTTTAATACTGTAAATCTTGAATCTTGCTAATAAGTAATTATGACAATGTAACATATTTATTAAACTGTATTTTTGCTTATAGCCCTCTCAATAAATTCTAGTATTTAGACTATAGTCAACCAGCATTGTGAATATTGAGTTAAAAATACCATACTATATAAGAGTGAAGATAATATGGCATATTCTTTGCATTTTGTTGTATTACATATATTTTTAACAATTCAGTATAACCTGAATTCTTGAGGATTAAAATTAAATATTAATACATTTTTTCTTGTATGATAATTATTTATGAACTTTAATAACTTTGAGTTGTATGACATTTCAATAATAGTTTTTTTTAAATAACATTAAAAATTTGTTCATATTTGCTTTATATGAAAAAAAAATAAATCTTCCAATGCATATATTTTATGCTTAATATTTTTAAAAAATTATTAAGCTCATAAATTCCCAATTTTGGTTTGTTATTATTTACTATATATGAGAGATTAATTTGTTACATTTATTGTTTTTTTTCAGATGAGTGGGTGAAAGATTTTGATTTGGAAGAGATTGAATCAGCTTCCAATATCAAGTGAATTAAGAATCTGTTAATTGAGCTTTGTTGAATATATTGTTTAGTTTTTTGTATGTGTGTATTCACAAAGATATTTATTTATATATTTTTTTTTTACATATATTTATACGTAAATAGGTATTCTAAGAGAATTTACCAGTTAAATACAGCAAGAGCAAAAATGAAAATATTACACTATCTTCCACCTTTATAATTTTGAGTACCCTAGTAGTAATTGTTGTAATATTGTATATATTTATTAAATTATCTGAATTGTAAAATTTACTATTGTTTTGTGTCAGAAAAAATAATTATTATAATAAAAATACATTATTGATTTATATCCTATGTGTGTTAATAATTTAATTTACTTGATGGTGATGATAAAGAAAATCTTTTAAACAATTGTACTAAAAATAATAAGTATTATTAGTGTCAATGGTATAATCATGATAACTGTATTAAATCAATTACAAGGAAAAATCAAAATGATAGTTCTTCTTGGTCACTGATAGTTACAAAAAAGTTAATAAATAAACAATATGAATTGTGATTTTAATAATGTATATTCAGTGATGGGCAGTATCTTAGACACATTTGTACCTTGTATCTTTACATTTGTGAGTTGTATCCAGATTCTTTTTGTGGCTGTGTATATTGTATGTTTTCATTTTGTTTGCGTAAAAATACAAGTGAAAATACATTTTTTCTAAGAAAAAATAAAAATCAATTTTAAATTTGGCTTTGGTAATATACTTATTTGATTTATAAGCAGTAAATTAATTGAAAACGTTTTGTGAAATAAGTTTTGAAGAAGTGGAGACTTGTGTTAGGCTAAATTATTTATTTACTATAACACAAGTTTGTGTTTTGCAGTGCCAATTGAAAGAATATTTTTTTCAACTGGCTTCATATATTCACCAACACGTTCAAAAATATATTTCTTAAAAATAATTCCAAATTTTTAAAATAAATACATTTTATTTGTATTTTATAGGTATATCATTTTTTATTTATTTTAAATTATTTAACCTTAAAAAAGATAATAAGTAAAGCATATTACGGCACCCCATAATAAATGTTTGTGTTTTAATTTTATTAAAAATAAACAATATTGAAATACAATGAATATTATTACTTTAACCTATTTAGATAGATATTTAAAAAAACAATTAAGATTATCTTGTATCATGTATCTAAAATTGTGAAAAAAATGTATCTAGTATTTAGTATCTTTTTATACATTTCAAATTAATCTTATATCTTTAGAAGAAAATTGTAGTATCTAGTATCTATAGTAAGTATCTATTTTTTTTTGAGTATCTTGCCCATGCCTGTGTATAATCATACATAAGTTATAACAAATACAAATAATAATAATGTAAATTATTTTGAACAGTTTTAATCTAAAGTTAAATTTAACAATAGTTACTAATTATTTTCAAATCAACAAAATTAGATTAACATAATAAAATTATTCACTAGTTATTACAATAATATGTATGTTATGCCGAATACGTGAATTTAATAACCGTTATGACCCAAAACTGCCGATTGCGTGAAATCAACAAGGCCTTTAGTTAATAAAATAATTAGTTTTTAACTAAATACATATAATTTAATGGATTTAATTATTGCAAAATAAATTGTATTATAAAATAACATTTAGCTCATCTAATCTTCTATGTATAGTCTTCTATATTCACCATTTTGGGTTTTTTTTTATAATTCGAATGGTGGAATTAAAAAAAAAAAGATGATAATTAATACAGTCAAACTTGTTTAACTCGAAGTTGAAGGGATCGGAAAGAAAGTTCGAGTTATTCAAGTAAAATTTCAAAATGTGTATTTTTTATAATTTATCCATTGCTTGTCATAAAATTATATTTTTCTAATTTTAATGCAAACTTTTCAGCTTTTACTCTTATGAACAGCCCACTCAGTGAAAATTTTTTGTCACGTGTCTGTTTAAACTATTTGTATAAGCACTCATTAACATTAGGATTTTCCGGTTCTCTAGCCCTTTTTCTATCCTTTTTACTGGACGTAGATAACTTAAGATGTTTTCTTTATTTTTAAGATAAGTTGACAAAGTGTTAAGTGGATTGCCAAATGCTTTAGCTATTAAAGATTTTGTTTTCAAACCACTTTCAGCTTCTCGTATGTTATCGTTTTTAGCACGCGTTTTGATGACGACATTACGAACGAAAAATTACGTACGACCATGTTAAAATGAAAGATAACTGACCACTGAAATGTTTATATATGTTAGTGGATAATGAATCATTGTTGTGTAGTATAGATACCAGTTAGATACAATTATAATCTTATAAACCTAGGAGGGTATTAATTATTAATAATACCTATTCATTTATCATCATTTAATTTGATTCTTCATTATGCACACTAACTAGAAAGTATACGTTTTATAAATTTAGATTCGATTGTTAGTTAGCCGAGGCATCTACAGGATCTTAACTTATAGACAGAATGACTTTGTCGTTTGCATAGCCTACGACATGCGTGTTTTGGGTGTGGGTTGATCGGAAACATAAATATTAAACAATGTTGGTGAGAGAATATCTCCATGGTTATATTTGTATGTTACCAAATTTAAATATAATAATTAATACCTATATTGTATTATATTATACAGCATTTATTTAACATTCAAAGCAATAATACTAATATAAATAGTATTTATACTTGGGAAATTTGAATCGTATTAATTGAATAATGTTAAATACTGATATTACCTAATACTACACTAAACGGTAAAAAGTAACTTATAGACATTCTATAGAAACTTTGGAATTTATCCTCTTCAGCGGTTAATTCCTTTGAAACTACATAGCTACTATGCTGTCTATCTTTTAAAAGTGGATGAATCCATTACCTACGTTTCCTTTTTTTGTTACGAAGCCACTAATCAGGGGCGGATAGGCATAATCTGACCGGCCCGGAAAAAATTGAATACAGCAGTCCGCATGATTATATCCAAGTTCCAACTAAACAATTAACTCAACTTTGAGAGAACCAATCCGGCAATAACCACCTTTTTTTTTCGACGTTCTTAAATAATATTTAAAATTATAATACATATTATACCATCCAATTTTACACATGTTTTGCTCTCTTCTAACAACTCTACGATTTTTATCTCTTTTATTTTCTGCACCTCCTTTTATTTTTAATTCGTTTTGAAGCATACAATATTCTAGCAATATTATACTATTCACATGGTTCGCGTATAATTATTATGGAAAAACATGATATATCAGTAATCAATTTTGCCGTGAGGTTTTATTATTAACTATATATGATAATTTAAATCTGAACAATTAGTTATCATTATAGCACAGAATTATATGCATTAAAAATCAATCAAATATGCGCTAAAAGATCTTTAACATGCACTTTTAAAAAATAAATTTGCACTCAAAATTTTTAATCATTCAATTTAAATAATACATAAAAAAATTACATTTAAAATTATGTAACCCTACTGTAAATACTTTTTTCTTCTTCATTTTAAAGGAATTTACTATGATATTTATAGCTTTAAACTAAATTTAAATATATATTATTAGTATCATATTTATTTACTTTTATTTGTATACATGTATGTACATGTATAATAGTATTAGTAGTAATATTTTTCATCGGCCCATTTTCGTCAATATAAGCAGCGGTCCACCGGGAAAATCCCGGTGTCCCGGCGGCCCTATCCGCCCTTGCCACCAATATAACATGAACACATCCTCATTATCAAACGGCATTGTTAAAACTATAGGTACATATAGTTTCTTCAGTGTGCAACCCGCCTAAGGTACGATTTGATTAAAAGGTAAAGAGGGAGGGGAGAAATTTCCGGAATATGAAGAGTAAGCTTTCGTGCCACATTTAATCAAATGTTTGAAGTATGTCAATAAAGGAGGCAGTGCAATATTGTTTGTTTTCGTAAGAGATAGGATCCACTACTCTTTGCTCTTGGTGTATGGTACTGTGTTTTGTTTTAAATTCAAATTGGGTGGGCAGGGATATGTTATTTGCATCAACGTAAGAATTCATTCGATTGAGCACCAGTCTCATGGATTTTTGAGAAAAATGGAAGCAAGCTAATAGATCAGTATAAGGTTGGGATGTCTGGTCAAGCAAACATAATCATTTTGTGATTTAAAAGTTTTAAATTGAATTTTTTCAAATGCCTAATAAGTATAGTTATAAAATAACTATGATTATTATAATACATCGAATGGGCCATTCGTACAGTTATTTCCCGGGCCGATTTTCTTCAGCCTATCCGCCACTGAGCGTGGCTTACGGTTTGAGTAAACAATGAATTCGTATGTCACGTTTGGTTCGTATAATATCAAATCAAGTTGTGGATATTTCGGTCGTGGTATACAATAGAATGTACACATTTGTTAATAAAATATTTATTATTACATATACCTACATTATTTTACAGATATTATGTACCACAAATCAATATACATTTTTAATACCTAATAAATTATTATATTAAATTTAAAGTTTAACAAAGAAAATTAACGATGAACAAACAATACATTTCACAGACTATTACGGAAAAGAAGTTCTATGGAATACAAAATTAAAATCGTGAAGAAATTAAGAAATTAATTATTAATTAATAATATTCGAGGCGAAGCTGTGAAAATTATAATATTAGTTGAAGTATTCAACTTACCGAATAAAAATCGTGTTCACAAAAAAACATTCACGATTTTTGTGGTGTTTATTTGAACAATAGTGAATCAACACCCAACATGATCATGAAATACGATCGTGATTCACGTTTCGTGTAAACCCACCTTAATGGAACGTTCACACGGGAAGTAAATCACGAACGTGAGCCACGATTTCGCGTCATACGTTTCTGTGTGAACGCAGTGCGGCTTAAACTTGGATTCTTGAGTCAGTGGCGCACGATCCAAGAGTGAACGGATCAAACGTATTTGATTTTCAGTCGTGAAATCGGTATGTCATCACAGCAGCGTGGAGTAGTTAAGTTTAATGACAATGAAACCACACGTTTTTTGGAGTTATATTCAATGGAAAAAGTGCTATACGACCCAGCCTTGGATGCATACCGTGATAGAGATTTACGTGCAGCTGCAGCTAATAGGATAAGCCATGAATTAAATATTCCTGGATTTGGACCGAGAGAAGTAATTGTGAAATTTAAAAATTTAAGAAGCTCTTACTGTCAAGAGTTAAAAAAAATATCAGACAGCATAAGATCTAGAAAGGATACAGATGACATCTATAAGCCAAAAGTATTTTGGTTCAATCAAATGAACTCATTCATTCATCCGTTTGTTCAACAGCGATCTACACAATCGAAATCGGTAATTAATATTATGATTAATTTTATTAAACAATAGGTAGGTATAATGCATTTGGTTAGCGACGTAATTAAAATTTCATTGATTCGGTTTTGCCATGCTCCCAGGGCCGGTGAGAGGGTGGTAAGTGCAAGAGCCCTGGGGCCCATATCTCCAAGATGGCCCGTTGTTTCAGCCTCTTATACAAAATTATTTTATAATCTCATTCACTATAGCATAATTTGCAAATTTAAATATTTTTATTTTATTAAGTATGTACAAGTAGTATGTATATCTTGACCAAACAAGTTTAAGTATAGGGGGCTTGAAACTAATCACCTTTGGCGCACTCAAAAGTTCTTGTTGGCCCTGCACGCTCCTTGATTATTAAAATAATCAAAATATCTATCCCATATTTGTTGGGCTTCGTATTAGAATGTTGGTGGTTAGTTGCTGGTTAATTCAGTAATCCACATGATTTCCCATTATACTGACACAATGATCCAAAGTAATTCCAATGGTCTCCATCCTCATTAGAGAATAAATAATTTTTCATTAGATAGAGGACTCAAACTCTGAATATTTGGACAATACACAACAACTAACATCCATTTATACTTATCAATCAGAAATATCTGTAACATTAAATTCTTCGGTAACTAAATCATCTTCAATGATCCAAAGTACAAGTCATTCATTTTTCGTACAAATTTCATCCTATGAACTCTGCCATTATATGTCAGTAAATCTAAATTGTTTAACCATCAATTAATTATATTATTGTGAAAGAATATCTCTCAATGTAATTGAAGATAAAGAGTTTAAAAACTAAGTAAATATAGTGTTCCCCAATTATATTATACCTTTAAGAAAATAGTTTCAAATAGTTTATTGCCACAAATATGTAAGATGATTGTCCAAAGAGTTAAGAACATATTTAGAAATCTATCTGCAGTATGTTTGACTACTGATAAATGAACATTAAGGAATAATTAAAGTTTTGTTGCAGTTATTGCTTACTTTATACATCCAGAAAATATCATTGAATTATCATGTTTTGTTGGGATGTACCGGTTTCCTAGAACGTCATGATTAGTTGAAGTAGTGTATAACTGTTGTGGTAACAGATAATGCTGAGAATATAAAACTTGCAATTGATAAATGCAATTGGAGACGGCTGTCATGTTTTGCCCATACTATCAACTTGATTATTCATTCTGGATTAATAAAAATTGAATCAATAATAACAAAAATAAAAGATATTGTATCATATTTTAATAGAAGTTCTCACACATTAGTCATATTACACGAATATTAAAAACATACAGAATACCCAATTTTAAAACTAAAACAAAATTAACAGATACGCTAAAACTCAACCTATAATTTGCTGGATAGAGTATTGAAAATTAAGGAACCAATCATTGCAACATTAGTCATTTTAAACAAAATTGAATTAAACACTCATGCTCCCCATTAATGGTAAGTGGTCGATAAATCTAAAGATGTATTTTTATAAAATAACATTTTTATGAAGTTACAGTTGAATAATATATAACAATTTCAAAACAGGTCATTTTTGTAAAAGCCATTTAAAAAATTACTCACGTTTATAAATGAAAAAAGTTTACCTCTAGAAGTGCTGAATATGGTCAACACTAGAAAATATTATGATTTGGTTTGACAAAATTAAAGATGATATTCTCATTACTCTAACTATAATTTTGGATTGTAGATTCAAAAAACATAGATTTAATAATACAGATAAATATAATAGAGGTGTATTTCAACTTCAAAATAAATTATCGAGTATACAAACTGAACAATTAGACATCACATCTCAACCATCATGTTCTTTAGCACCTCTGTATTCCAATTCAGCAACTTGGAAATAATTTGATGAATCTGTAAATAATGCCATTAGTAGAAATAACTATACAGCAGCAGGGATAATTGTTATAGATAAATAATTAAATGAACCAATCATCAATAAACATGGAAATCCTTAGCTCTGGTTATCAGAATAACAAAAAATATATCCACGCCTCTATGAAATTGTAAAAATACGTCTACATATCTTAGCAACATCAGTTCCATGCAAAAGGCTTTTTTCAAAAGCTAGACTAATGATTACAAACCAAAAAAAACAGGTTAAAATCAACAAAAATATAAATAGATTAATGATAAAGTAATCTGATCTTATATTAAATATGAATTAGTTAATTAAAACATAAGTATATCTTCTTTTTCTTAACAGCTTATTGAGCTTTGTAGATTCATTTTTGCCATCATTAATTCCTTTCATCGATCTCTGTTATTCGCATCCTCTAATAGGACATTTTTCTGGATCATTGTTATATATTTTTCTCCTGCTCTCTATATGTATTCAACCCATTCTCTCCTTTTGATTTTTATTGAATATCTGAAAAAAATAAATATCTTAAGATATTTTATATTTATAAAATTATATCATACTGTTTAATAATATTATCTAATATTTATATTTCTAAAATTCCTGACTGCATTTAATTTAAATCAAATTAAAATAAATATACTATAAAATTATAACAACTGTAATTTAATTTAAAACACTGTGAAGGCAATAATATTATCAGTTACAACACTACGTCAAGTACTGAATTTACAACTACTATTTCACAGCAATGAATATTAATTATTTTATAATAAGTTTATTATAATTTAATAATATTTTGCCTAAATAATATAATAATGATCATAAGTATCAGTGGCGTATAAAGAAAATATTTTTGGGAGAGGCTACTATGGACAAAGTTAAATTACCACTGCTATCTAAAAATTATTAACAAGACAAAGTAGGTATCTAGTAGTTATTTAGTAGTTCTACATTTCATTTACATAATGTCCCAAAACGATTTGATGTTGAATGCAAATTCTAAATAATAATAAAGCACCATTAAAATACGAGTATAACATACGTTTAAAATAATTTTTAAGTTTTTTAAAACATTTTGGGAAGGGGCTGTAGCTCACTAGGCACCTCCCCCATATAAACCACTAATAAGTATCTAAATTAAAATTTTAAGTGTTTAGAATATTTGACCAAAATGTATAGGTATTGCATCATTATTTTTTTTTTTTATTACATTTTTTATTATTATTGTACATATTCTTTTATCGATTCTTTATAACATAATATTTATTATATATTATATATAGTATACTGTGTTCTATATAATATACAATTTAAAAAAAGAGTAAATTAAATATTATTCTAATAATATTACAAATATGTATAATCATACTATATTATAATGTAAATAATTATAAAATATAATATAATATAAGTACATACTTATTACCGCTGCGAACTGTGCTGGAATTAATCGTAAAACAAAAAAAACAATTATACACACGGAACGTTTGTTTTCATGAAATTAGCTAGTAAAATATTTTTGAGATAACGTTCTGGAAACAGTCGTATGTATGTGTTGTTCCAATTAAATACAAGCGATTTTAATTAAAGAAAAAACATCGTTTACGAACAGTGCAACCAAATCAAAATCGGACGAATGAAGGACTTTCAATTAATGATCCGGATTCCGGGTCGATTCGTTCACAAACAGTGCAACCCGAACGAGAACAAAATTGAACGAATGAACGAATGAACGACTTTTTATATTTTTGCGAACTGGATTGGTTCGTTCACAAGTGTGACCCATTCGTTCTCAAATGACACATCTTGACCATTTCTTACCATCATTAGTATAAAGTGCCAAGATTGTAATCTCCGACCTCATCTCATTAGTTATAATTTCTTCTTTTTTTTTTTTTTATTTTGTATTAATTGTACTTATACACGTTAATGTCATAAGTCTTGGTATTAGTTCAACAACTAAAAATACATTAAATATATTTTAATTATTTTAATTATTATACAATTTACAATGTTACTTAACCGTAAACGAAGTACAATATGGAATCATTTTACTATAAAGTCCAGTACTATAGCTCAATGTTCTTACTGTTGGCACGAACTTAGTTACAGTGGTGGTTCTACGAGTAATCTATTACGACATCTTAAAACCAAACATATAACTGTGGCACAAACAAAATCATTGAAGAGTCAAAACAACCTTTCATCTGACAATGAAGAATGTACTGAAGATCCATTAATGGCATCTACCAGCAAGTCCATAACAACTTCCTCTACAAAACTACCTGAAACGGTAAGTCCTTCAAAATCAAATCAACCTAGGCAAAGTACTATTATACAGTTTGTTAGCATACCTATAATCAGGGCCATCCCTAGGGCAGGGTGAGCGGAGCCCTCCCCCCCGCTCTCACCACAGTTGGACAGGCCTTGCTTTCATAGATCAATAAAAAACAGTTAAATTGATGAGTAAAAAAAAAAAAATGTACATATCATTTTTTTTTCATGTAAAATTGTTTATTATATAATTAATTTATTAACTTATTCATATTGTTGTAAGTGCAAGGAACTGTATTTGTTAAGACTATTTGCGCACATTTGAGTTCCAATATGTAACTGATGCTCGATAGTGAAATTTTCAACATTTAAAGCCCTGCAAATTTACTCTGCCCTGAGCACCACAAATCATCAAAACAACCCTGCCTATAATACTCTCAAGGTCAAAGGCTATAGACTTCCATATCTTCAAATTTATTATAAATCATTTCCACTCTTTTAATTGGTTGAAGAAACGGAATTCTGTAATTTGATAAAAATACTTGCACCTATTTTATCCTTTAGAAAAACCATATTAAATAGTTTATTTTAAAAATGTATTACAGTGAATTAGAAAAAATTTAAATTGATTAACAAAATGTGAAGCCTCTATCTTTGATAACGGTTAGTTGAATGTCCATTATTAATTAATATTATAAAGCATTAACTGTGCATTGTGCATTTAAAGAACTTTCTCAATTGTTGATGAATACTGTTAAAAAGTAGAATATTTAAAATTAAATATTAAATATTCAAAAAATAATATATTAAAATATAATATAATAATATATTTGATATTAAATATTCCTAATAGTGTGGTGCTATTAAGTTTAATAATTGGTAACATATTTCATGCTTTGCACATGTTATTAATATTGGAATTCCACATGGCCTAAAAAAATGAAAAAATATTATGACTATAATAAACAACATAGTTGAATTTGTTAAGAAAAGTTATGGAGTTTGTCATAAATAACAAAATATTTAAAAACAAACTAGATTTAAACTTATTCTGAAATGCAAAATTCATTAAAATTCTGTATATAAAATGATAAAAAGGATTTTTACACTAAAAGAGCCCTTTCTGTCAATACTAGTATTAACTTTGAATAGGTATTTCAAAAATGTAGAAAGCAATGACATTCAATTATAGACCATTTTCTAAATTAGATTTTAAAAACTTGGATTTTCAATTAATGATAAATTTAAAGCATATAAATCTAACATAGGGAGACAATTAGTGTATTTAAATATTGATAGTTCAAATTTTACTGAAAACGTTATTCTAGCTATTTTGATTCCAAATATGCCTTCTTCCAGTATTTGATCAAAATTGTATAAACAGATCAGTTCAGTTCTTAGTGGAAATAATTCATTAATGCATTGTTGAAAAAGATAAGTTACTTACCTGACTGGAAATCTTTTCAATCATTAGCAAGTTCCTTTGAAGTGGTTTAAACAATTATAAAAAAACAATTATATCCAAGTTTATATGAAATGGTTCTAAGAAGATTTTGTGTTACAACAACAGTTCTAAGTTAACTAGTTTTTTTTTTTAAAGTTTTTCTCTGCTGGCGTCAGGAAGGTGGCGTCCCCATCGCCCAGGGCATTTTTCTCTGGCCTTGTACTGAATTCAAAAATAACCAAATTTACAACAGATAAAGTTGAAAACATTTAATTTATTTAATCTAAAATTTAAATTAAGTATTGCAAAAAAACATTTATTCAATTGATACTTCTATTATAACTATAATTTAAATTAACTATAATAATACTATTTGAAAAATTAAATAAAGGTTTTTAAAGTGTATTTATTACTTTCTTATTTAAAGGATATTTGTTTAGGTATTCTGTAAAGTTTTTAATTTTTGAATCAATTAAAATATCGGTACAACAGATAAATAGGTTATACTTACGTAGAATAAAATTGATGTTATTCTATTTGAAAATTTAAGATATGTAGATAATTAACAACTCATTTTATTCAATATTTGTTGGTTTGATTATTGATTACAGCGGTTATCACGACTGTATTTAGACAAGTTTACAGTTGTATGAATTTTTATAAATATTTTATTTATTTAATGGTTTATGCTTAGATCATATACTGGTACTACATATAGTATATGATCTAAAAAGGTTTATGTACACTCGTGATAAAGATTGCCAAAACTAGTTTTTGCTCTACTGTGTCGAAATACTGCTTTGTCGATTGTGGGTAAGCATAAAACAGTATTGGTTGATAAATAAATCAATAGAATAATTTGTTAAAGACTCAAAACCTATCGCATAAAAATGATTTGAAATAGCATTAATTATTAATACCAATAATATATAATTAATGTTTATATCAATGAAAACGATTATAAATAAGTATTATAGTATCGGATTCTGTCAGCCCGCTACACAATTTCGTTTAAGCCGGACTTCCACAATGACAGTTTTTTCATGAAACAATTTTAAATTGACATACACAGTGGCGGATCCACGGAGGGAGGTTTTGAGGGTTAAAATCCTCCCAAAATCAGGAAAAATATATTTTAAAAATCAATTATTTTATGAATTAATTTTTTTTTTTTTTAAAGTATTTGGAAAAGTAAATAATTCGTATTTTTATTTATATAAGAAGTTAGTAATCTTATATTTAAATTAATGTATTATATTACTTACTATTATCTTAATTCATTATCAATCACTGTCTGGAATGTTATAAAAAATATTCCAAGGGATATTTCAAAACTCCCTCCCAAAAGAAAATCCTGGATTCGCCACTGGGCATACATGTCACGAACATTCATACTAGTGATATAAATAGTGCGGACGGTGGTAAGATAACCAAAATAGTCACATGTGAACTTTTAGTGTGGCCGTTGTGATTTGTAATGAAACCGTTGCAACCAAAAGTAAAACATAATTATCGATAGTAAAATTGTTATATCGTTACTCCTCCGTATCCGCTAACTATTGACAGTCAATTGAACTCAACTCTCGCGCGAAATTTTTCTAAATAAGTGAGCAATCTTTAATAATATAAAATGAATGGTAGTGGTGAATCGTATGAACTCCGAGACGAATCGGTCGGAGTCAGTTAATTTATATTGAACGAATCGTTCTCATTTTCTGAATCTAAATCAATTCATTTATTTTATTCATTCATTTTGAACGAATCGTTCGTGAACGACACATCCCGAATCCTTTATAACCAATTGAACCTTCTGTCAGAAACTGAAGGTTGATTTTTTGGACGATTGTGAATAACACAGCATGCGAGGACAACTTCATCCGGCGTTTCTAATTTTAATGAAATTGGTTTTTCAAACAAATTTACTTGGGAGTATGTGAAAAGCGTTTTCCATTGCACGTCTTCATCTCGAAACACGATAAATCTTTTCTGCTTGTGTCATATTGCATCGACTGTAGGGTTTCATTGAATATTTTTTTTTTAGGGAAATCATCGTCGGTGTAAATAACGAAATTTGTTGGTTTTGAAAAAGTGCTATTTTTAAATATACTCCTCCCGATTAGCATCCTTTTGTCTCAACCAGGGGTGGTTCCAGAGCCTTGGTTAAGAGGGGGGGGCAAGTTATAATTTTACAAAATCTTATAACAAAAAGAAAACAACAATTTTTACAACACAAATTCAAGTCGTCTATTTTTAAAATTGACAAAAATATCAATATGATCTATTTGATCTAGAATATCTAATTTATGATATACATTAATTAGACATAATGCTGATAGTCTATATTCAGTCATCAATGAACGAAGCCAGGTTTTTAGTCTCCGAAGTGTGGAGAAACTCCTTTCAATCGTCATACCTCTACGGCTTTACATACTTGTGCGTGTCGTATGATAGTACATATTATAATATGCATTTTTCGTTAACAGTATAGATACCTTTTTTTTATAAATACGGTACGGGCTTGGAAAGGGGTCGCGGCCCCTAGCCCCCCCCCCAGGAGCCGCCCCTGGTTCCAACATCAACACACAAAAAATAATAATCGGAATCTCTACCAAAGCCCGTAACACAGTACTGTTTTTGTAATTGTTATACTCGTAATTTAAGCCATTTACGGGAGGGACTCGTATGACAATATGATTTCTATCTAGAGCGCCTATACGATCAGGAAAGTTCCATCGCGTTCTAAAGGCCAGCTTACACGCAACGATTAATTGTTTTTTAATAATTATAATTCATTATAACTTTAGTATATCTACCTATATTATTTAATAAATAACATACAATTTGATTTGAGGGTAATTTTTTGTTTTTTTGCGAATATGTCTGATCTACGGAAATTTTGTTGCACACTTACTAGGAACATGAATAAAACGGCAACAATGCTTCTTCCCTATCGTCAAAAATCATTAAAATAACTGACTACTGAAGAGTGAAGAGAAATACTGTTGAAACTGGGATGAAAAACTGAGTAAAAATTAGAATGTTATATATCTAATATTTTTATAAAATATAACTAAACGATAAATATAATTTTGTATCAATTTATATTTTAAACGCATCCATCATACATAGGTGTACTTTTAGTTGAAATGGTAAACTTTTAAAAACGCTTCCATTAAAATCGGTATATTAAATTCATAATACAAATATTAATTTCACATTTTTACACTCATACCAGGTATGGTATTGCAAATGATATAAGTAATTAATATAAGTCTATACTGACCAAAATCATAATACATTTGGACCAATATTTAATTACTTTATTTATTAATTAAAATATTTTATATATTCATAGAATTTTACACAAAAATATTTTTTAACGTATACAATTTACCAAACAATTCTTAAGTTTTACACGGTATTATTGATTGCAATATAAAAATAACAATAATTATTGTTAGAATAAGTTTAAAAAATAAGAATAAGTTTAAGTTTAGTTAGAATAAGCTGCGTGGAAGGAAAAAATGCTAGGGGAAGACCACGAATGGAATATATGCAACAAATAATAGAGGACCAAGGATGTACTTCTTATAAAGAGACAAAGAGGAAGGCAAGTAACAGGGAAGAGTGGAGAATTGCTACAAACCAATCTCAGGATTGAATACTAAAGAGAGAGAGAATAAGTTTAGAAATCGGGAATGTAACATAATCTGAGAATGAGTTTTCGTAACTGGTCCAACACATGGTCGACCCCGAAGGTATAATATCGTGGCGTACTTGTTTTGAATCAACTTTTTCTACAACTGATTTTTTAGACACTCATAGCCATTTATTTACACCAGTGTTTTGTCAAACCATTAGATGCTTGCAGGATCGTAGATCTTCGTGCTTATATAGTTTGATCGTCCTCTAGATCGAGCTACTACTCCGAGCTCAAATGCACAAGAAAGGACGAACGTCCCATTTCGTTCCCTCACGGTGATCTGCAGTTAATGAGCTGATAATATGCGTAAACGAATGCTCCGAAGTCGTCCGGTTCAGTGCGTGGCCTAATCTAACGAACATGCGATTGCAGCAACGGTACGCAACAATAATAATAAATGTAAACGAGTCTGTTGGAGGGGTCGGTGGCGGTGGTGGTGGTGATTTTTGCGACGGTGGCGGCGTTTAAGCGTTAAAAACGGGTGGTATGTGGGGATGGATGACACGATGCGTGTGACGTCACCAGCGACTGTTGACTAGATTGTATACAAATACAACATGATAAAGTGTATGGGTACGTCAAACGAGAATTTATGAATGGGCGGCCACCATTACGGTTGTCAGGGGCGACTGCCACCACTGCAGTGCAGAACGCATCCCGTTGACGAACAAGCGGCTTCCATCTACCGGTTAACGCGGCGTGTCCTGTGTACCGGGTGTACTCCGTGTGCATACTTCGTCGGTACTCGGTTGGTTGATTTTTTTTCCTCTCCTTTTGACCCGACGACGTTTCAGTCGGTCGGATTAGTTGCATTCACGGGCAAAAACGTTAGGTGAAAAAACGCTACTGAAATAAAGAGAACAACGGTTTTTACTCTCGTGATATTCGAAAATAGCTGTCCGCACCTGTCGTTAAAATGTAACGATATCAAAAAACTTACGATGTATCATTATTTTCCAAATAGAACAATATCTATTTATAATTGATGTTTTCGCGAGACGATGGTTTCCAGTTCCCTACGACCGGTGCACCACACTCGATCTCGGAAGTTCAACTATAGTACATATATCAGTATATTAATCGAATAATAACATTTATTGAAAAGAAATTAGTCGAATAAAATATTAGTCAGGTAATTAATTATACCATGAAAGGTAACTATATTAGTACTACCGGTAGGAATGAAGGTATTACTGCCCGTTAGTTGAATTTAATTAATTGAAACTGAATTAATTGAATTCAACTATCAAAGCTTATTCGGTATAATATTCGTGGTATAGTTTGTGACGATACTAACCTTGCTAAAAATGGTAGACCATTGGATTTTGAAAGTCCATATTTATGGACCATTGTACGTTGCTGATATTCATTTGCCAATATCCGTGTATATGATCCATATCCATGGGTTCCACGGTAAAATCCATGTCCGTGTCTATGTTCATTGGACCGTCGTCGACCTCCATTTCGTCGTCTTCCATACTGTCGACTCCCATATAGTCGACTTCAATGGGCTTTTCTTCAATAGATATTTTCGAAAAACTTATGGTCATGGAGCAACCGTGACAAATCACGTTGTACAAATCGGCATCCATGGCGTACTTTTTTTTGTTCGTAAGATACTTGAGTTGTATAATTTAATTATAAATTTAACGAAAATTTTAGAGTTACAACTTAACCTAGATAATTATTAAAAGTTATAAAACAAATGTGACGGATTTTCCGATTTTCAAACACTCCAACACTAAAATCCGTAGTTAATGGTTACCACATATTGCAACGCTTAACTACCATATTATATAAATAAACAAATAATGAAATTAATAATATAAATTATATTAATCATTTCTTAGTAGCCAACATATTAATTTATCATTTCTTAGTGTACATTTCACAGCCCATTCAATTTGAAACTATATGACAAACTGATTTTTTTTATAAGTGTTTGTACATCATAGTAAGTTCAAACCAATTATGCCTAATATTAAAAGTTAAATTTAATATGGAGTTTATATTGAGATGATGTGGCGAATTTTTTAATTTCCTATACATGAAAGACATTCCACTGTCTTCTGTTCACTTGGAAAATGGTTAAAGGGTGTACTTTACAGCGGAAAACGTATTACAACGAGTTGACAGGCCGTCATCGACAACATTAACAAGCTTCTTTGAAATGTGTCAGAATGATGATTTTTATAGAACACTGATTTATTCCGAAATGCCAAGATATTATACCTGGGAATCAATCACCAAAAAAATTAGAACGACGGAAACAAGGACGCCTCTTTCAAATTACCTAAAAATAAAGAAAACTCCATTCTTATATTAATATATTATATTACGTTTCTCTTCTTACGAAATTAAAAATAACAATGAAAAACATATAAACTGACTGAAAGATCAAGAAAACTTAATAGATTGGATTACCGAGTGTATCCAAGATAAAGTTTTATTATTTGCTTTTAGTTCATGATTGATAACATTGTGACAGCATTTTATGTACAATAAAAGTTAGAGTTAGTATATTAATTGATTCATATTATTGAATTGCACTTATACTTTGTAGTAATTTTTTTTAACATTAATTTTTCACTTCCACCGATATATTTTACTAACTGTAACTAAATAAATCAAAGATCGCGCTCTGATTTCTATTCTATTATTATCTACTTAATATGCAATGTTTTCTTAAACATGTTACATAATGTGTTATAAGAAGATTTTCATGAAGCTCTAGAGGATTATATACTTCACGCAAGTCTTCCTCTCCCTACTAAGTATAACATTGCAGTTTGTATTACAAGCTCAGACCTAATACCCTTAAAGTATTCCAATAAATCCAGTGTATAACTTTATTATGCATACATGCACTTATTTTCACAGGTAACCACTTAGGATTCGTCAAATCCATTGATTATATTAAACGTATAAAAACATTGCACAGGCGATATTATTTAAGGCATTTGTTATTCTTTCCTCCTATGAGAATAACAACTAAGCGTTTTTTCTTATTTTCTGAAAAGACTATTATACTCTAACTGACGAACTTAATTATTCACAAGCATGGGTATGTTGATGATACTTTAAATCACATCAAGTAAGTTTAAAATTATGTTAACAACCCAGACAGCAATTTTACATTATAACAACATAACAATAATATAATATTTTTAATATTAATATTATTACAAAATTAAATTGGAATTGCTAAATAATTATTTAATATTATGATAACATTATTTTGACATTTTAGAAATCTCATTGTAATGTTTTACAAAGGTTATAAATTTATAGTTTTTAATAATATTATAATATCACTGTAATGAAATAGGGAGTTTAATGTAATATTGAAATAACATTATAATAACCTTTACTAATAAAATACAATTTTTTTTGAAAATTTAAATTCTTTATTAAAATTAATTAAAATATAATTATAAAACTGATAATTTGAATATAATAATAATAATAATAGTTATAAAAAAATGCTGCATAAAATAAAAAATGAAATTTTACTATACAAATATTAAATAAATACTTTTTTATGAATACAGCATTTTTATATATTAGAATATATAATATATTAGTACTCTATAACACGTAATTAAGTTTTATTGACCATTTTACATGTCCAGTAAAGCGTACAATAAGTTGTTGCGTGTGAACCGGCCTCAAAACCAATGTTCAATGTTTTCCATTCGTCCAATGTGTCAGGAACCTGGCCAACAAAATATTTTTAATTATTTATGTAATTTTTTTTTCGGTGTCATACGATGTATACATTTATTATTATTATTAAACTATCATTATTATTTATGTTACAGATATTACCAAAAGAAAATTCCAAAAAGGCTCCTATAGAAATTAAACAATCTTTAGAATCAGAGTTTGAATATAGTCCTAGCAAGAATTTAGAAGATACTTCATCAAGTGCATCGAAAATCAATACATCTAAAAAGACCATAAAAAGAAAGATTGAACTACAAACTCCAACATCGGAAAAAAAGAAAATTACCCATGACCGCGGAATAGGTTTTATGACGAGTGCTATTGAACAATTACGAGAAATATCAAATCGTGCATCAGAAGTCACTATAAACAAACATGACAGTTATGATTATTTCGGTATGTATATTGCATCCATGTTACGAAGTATAGGATCACCAAGAGCAATACAATTACAACAAAATATAACTAATATGATAACAAACGCTATATGCCAACCAGAATGTATCACCACTGATAATTCAATGTCGGGAACAACTAGTTGAAGACAATGAAATCTTAAAAGTTTCTTCGGCTACTCATGATAAAGACTTCTTAACATTTTTAGATTTATAAGTATAACTAAATAATTACAAATTCACTCATATTTAATTTATTATAATTTTTTTTATGTATCAAAATATTTTTTTGAAAACTGAATATATGTAACTTCAATTTTATAATAAAATGTTTTAAGTGAAAATTAATAAAAACGTTTAAAAGCACATTCTATTATTTTACTTGTATGAATTCTGCCAGTACATTATACCTATATACTGCATCACAAGTATCTGGAATAAATTTACTCATTGGATTTTTTTAACACAAAAAGAAAATTTATTCCTTCTAAGTCGGGCCCTGTGGCCTGGATTGAAATTCCCTAACAACGTTTAGGCACTTAATTTATAATTTACCAAACACACTACACATTTATTACAAAAAAAAAAAACTTTCGAATTAGAAAAATTTTATATGATGCAACAACGCTGTTGTGACTGAAATTATCTATAGATAATTAGATGTATTAGTTCAATTTCAATTTTTTGGCCGTTTAAAATGAAAAAAAAATGCCTTAAATCTACCCGGCTGCCCAGGGCGCCAGCACGGAAGGGGCGCCAAACTTAAAATTATTTTTATTTAATTTATCTATTAAAACGCATTAACAATCTATACTATTTGAAATATTCATTTTCATTATCTAATGTCGTTTTAATTGAGAATCAGAAGGTGCATCTGCAACTGTCTCATTTTAGTCATATTTGTAGAATGTATAGTCGTTGCCAGATAAATTGAGACGGCGGCGGCGGCGCTTTTCATTAAGTGTAGCCCAAACTAGTCGCTGGTAGTTTGGTGCTAAGGTCTCACAGTCAGCTACGACGCGCGCAGTAACCAGTTCGAACCCGGTTCAGTGCAAAAAATTATTTGCAGAATTTTCTGTACTCTCCCGTTCTGGTTGCCCTACACTGCTAAAAACAACTAACCTAACCCGGTGTGTTTTGACCGCGCAAGCACTTCAGTCGTATCAACAATACTTGTTTATTATAAATGTATAAAAATAAATGACTCGGCTAACCAATGACAATATTAATTATTAATAGATCTCGACATTATGGAATATACTAATAGAGATGGATATTTACTCATTCGTGCCAGTATTGTGTTCGTGTTCATTTGTACTGAAAACATACGCTATATAATAAATATTTTTTTTTATAATGAGTTCAAAAATTAAAAATCGTAAAGCTAACAGTCAAGCTAGGGAAATAATTTGGAATGTTTTTAATTATTTTAAAGATAAAAATGAATACATGGCTAACTGTAGGTTGTATACGATGACTGCAGAAGCTACTGGTTATTCTACGATGTCAGTTAAACGTATTGTGTATGAAGGTAAGAAAAACATGGATTTAACTGGAAATTCTACATTGGCTACATTTACCACTCCTGATAAAAAAAGGAATAATGTGACAAAAATTAAAGCTTTAGTTGACGATTTCGATAGATGTGCTTTAAAGCGAACCATCACAGATATGTATACGGTTGATAAAATTGTACCTACTGTTAAACTTATTTTTGAAAAACAAAAACAATTTATGAATTTGGGGAGTACTAGAACATTAAACAGAATAATTTCGGAAATGGGCTTCAAATTTCGTAAAACTGAAACTAATAGAAAATTGTTGATAGAAAAACATAATATACGTTTGAAAAGAATAGAATACTTAAAAAAAATACTTGATTTTCGTAGACAAGGTAGAAAAATAGTGTATACTGACGAAAGTTATGTATTATCATCACATGTTGCTAATAAATCATGGAGTTCCGTCGATGATGACAATACAGTGAAACAAAGTTTAAGTAAAGGAAAACGTTTAATAATTATTCATGCTGGAGGAGAAGAAGGTTTTGTTCCTAATGCTTACACGGGAAGCTCAAAGCTCTAGTGGTGATTACCACGATAATATGAATAAAGATAATTATTATAAATGGGTCACAGAAAAATTACTACCAAATTTAAGTAAAAATTCTGTTGTGGTATTGGATAATGCGACTTATCATTGTCATCAATCTAACCGTGCTCCAAGCTCAAATAGCTTAAAAAAAGACATGGTAAATTGGTTGACTGAAAATAATATAAGTTTTAATTCAACTATGTTTAAACCACAACTTTACGATATAATACGTAAACACAAACAAGTGCTTGTTAAATATTCTTTAGATGGTATATTAAGTAAAGAAGGCCATGATATTATTAGACTACCACCGTATCATCCGGATTTAAATCCCATTGAAATGATTTGGTCACAAGTAAAACAGTACATTGCAAAACAAAATCATAATGGTAGCATCAAAAAAATCGCAGAACTGTGTAAACAAAAAATGGAATCTATGGGTGATTCTGAGTGGGGAGCAGATTGTGCAAACGTGAAAAAATTAGAAGAAGAAATGTGGAAAAATGAAAGTTTTATGGACATCGAAATGGATAAATTAACAGTAACGTACGGAGATGATACAACTAACGATAGTGATACAAGTACTGAAGATGAAGACGATGATTTGGGTGTAGCACCACTACAGCCATAACAAACTATTGTTATGTATATTAAAATGGTTATTTATAATATTATAATGCATATAGATGTTATTATTATTTCATCATATTATTATTAATATTATGTATTATTATTATTATTATTATTATATTAATTATATTATTTTACAATTTCTACTTTTTGTTCTTAAATAAAAGATTATTATCGAAATATTTGATTTTAAATTAATATCGTAAAATATTTTTTGTAACAATAGTTGGTTTATTGATGTATTTTCGGTAATAATATTGAAATACGGAGAACCACTGGTTTTCCGTTATCGCGCCGCCGCCGCCGTCTCAATTTATCTGGCAACGACTGTAACAGTGCATGTGCATCGATACCGCTGGTTTTGATGTAAAAATAATGCATCAATGCATGGAACTATGGAAGCATTTGTGTGTGACAATAAAATATATAGATGGTCGTAATAATTATTTTTATATTATAATATTTACCCATTTATAAATAAATTCATATAACTAAACGTCTAGACGATTAAGTCTAGATTCGTTATAAAAACCGCGGCGGTAAAACCCATTCGGACCTTACGGGGAAAATACCACAGTGTGGAGTAAACCAAAAAAACAATTGACACACACTAGTACATTACACGTCTACACACACAAAACACAATTATTTATTGTTTTCGACAAGCTCTCGCTCCGTACGGTCTGCTGTCAAATATTGTAAACTAACAAGTAACTGCCGACAGCCAACAGGTAATCAATATTCATTTATTTTGTTTAGTAAATTTGTACATAATATTTTGGTTTCTTTTCAAAATAAATTCCGTTCTTGGGTTGTTTTAATAAATAAGTAGTAAGTGAAACACAACATTCCTATATTATAGGCAGTGGTGGCCTGAAATAATATTATATATTTATATTTGATTTGATATTTTATGTTAATGAATATACTTTATATATGATGATAATATATAATATAATTGATATATGGCGCAACGGTCGATATAACGTGGTGAATTGCACATTCACATATTTATTATTATGAAAATACTTAAACACGTTTTCTCAGCATCTATAAATTTAATATGATATTATAATATTATTTTCGTCTTACAATTCGGACGGCAACTTATAATATAATACTTTCGTTGTAGCTATATACTATAATATTATAGAGTATGTGATGATTGCTATCGCACAATAATTCATGCGATCTATTGATTATTTATAATAATACATATTCAGTGCTCGAATTGGGGTGGGGTTCATAGGGGGACGGAGCTCCTCTACTATTTTTTTTTTTTTGCGTATCCCAACTTTATTTTTTTACCGGAACGGGGGGACGCCACGTTCATCCTAATCGATGTCCAAAATAATTTTTATGTGAATTTCGATTTACGTTAATTGGAAAATGAATTTTACGATTTATAATATCAAAATTATTTTTATAATTAACAATAAAAAATTCAAGTTCTGAAAAAGAAACATATTAGATTTATCAAGATATTTTATGTAAATTAAATGAATTTGATTTTTATACCATAAAATATTCAAAGTGTTATGTTCAAAAGAAGAAATGAAAAGGGGATCCCCGGCTCCCGGAGGAAAATTGATTTGGGTCGATCCAAAAAAAAAAATCCAGGTTCTGAAAAAGAAGCATAAAAATAAACGAATTAAAATTTGAATATTTTGAAACGAAAATAGATTGATTAAATTAAATTTAACATCAAACTAGAATTGCACACAGACTACGACATGCTGTTGATGTTCGAAAAAGGTAATAGCTTACATAAAAATAATTATCTTATAAACTAAAATATTTTATTTTTAGGTATACGAGGTGGATTCACGCAGGCGAGTATGCGGTATGGTTTAGCTAACAACTTCAAAACACCGCACTATGATCCAGCGAAGCCTGAATCGTGAATTATATACCAGGACTGTGAGTATAATTAATAATATAAATAATTATGTGTTATTAATTTGTCATATTATTTCAGGTAATAACTTATACAGATGGGCAATGTCACAATACATGCCATACGACAGGTTTAAATGGGTAGAGCCTTCGTTAGACGGTTTAGAGACTTTAACAGATACCTAAGATATCTATATCTACCTAGGTAGAATGTATGAGGTAGATATTTCATACCCCCAACATCTGCACGATAAACACAAAGATTTTCCATTCCTACTGGATAATAGTATACCAGTGTGTTCAAAAGTACAAAAGTTAATGGCAACAGTAGAGTCAAAATATAGATATATAATACATTATCACAACCTACAGCAAGCTATCACCAATGGTCTTATTGTTGAAAAGGTAAATATTTAATATAATAAATATATAAGTATATCAATTTATTCTTAATATTTTATAGGTACATTCAGTCATTCAGTTCCAGCAATCACTATGGTTATCAAAATACATAGATTTAAACACTGAAATGAGGAAAAAGGCAACTTATGACTTTGAGAAAGATTTTTACAAGTTAATGAATAACGCTGTGTTCGGTATATATTCATTATTATCATTATTATTATTATTATTATTTAGGAAAAACAATGGAATCCATGAGGAAGCGGATAAAAGTAGAAGTAGTATCAAGTGAAAGTAGACTACAGAAACTGATAAATCGCATAACGTTCAAGTATTGCACAGATTTCGATAACAACAATTTAACGGTTGTGACATTGGAAAACAAAATCATAGATTTTTGCAAACCTATCTATGTAGGTACTACGAGATATAATTTTTTTACAGCAGTTTATTATTTAATTAATATTATTACAGGTTTTGCAGAGTTGGATATATCTAAGACTCTTATGTACAATTATCATTACAACGTCACGAAGGAATATTACAAGGATGCTATTCATTTGATGTACACTGATACAGGTATCACTATTATTTATTTTTTTATTATTTTATTAATTTGTTTTATATATTTCAGATTCGTTGGTATACCAAAGATTTTTATAAAGATTTAAAAGAGAACCTGATATTGTTAAATCGAATGGATACAGCCAACTTACCACGTGATCATCCCTGTTACATTGCTAAATGGAAGAAAATATCTGGGCTGTTCTCAGATGAGACTGATGGTAAAACTATGACTGAATTTATAGCCTTACGAGCAAAATCGTATGCATATATTTTGGTTAACAAAGAAAAAATAAAGGCAAAAGATATTCGAGGTCATGTGGTGAAAAATCATATGAGCTTTAATTACCACAAGCAATGTTTGTTTGGTGATTTAAATTTTAATGTGTATAGAGAGAATGTATCTATTCGATCATTCAATCATAACATTATGACTATTAAATCTAACAAACTAACTTACAACTCGTATGATGATAAGCGATATGTGTTAAAAGACCAGATCCATATATTACCGCACGGACATTATAAAATTAAGTAAGTTGAAATAAACCTTATATAGTTAAAAAAAAAAGATACTCTCCTCTAAAGTCACGATATCTCTGTCGTTCACCATCTTCAAGGAGAGGTTATCTTTATTATCTTTATCACGAGATATTTCGCCAAATATAAGACAAATGTCTCCATTAAAAAGAAGTAATGATTTGCTCATTGATCAAGATTTGCGTACATATTTTTGTAAGTTTCAATTATATATATAATATTTATATTATTATTTTTGGTAATATTATATTAAAATTTTATTTTTAGAGGATAGATACAACTATCACAAAGAAAAAAAAAGAAACAATAGTAATAGAATCTGAAACTGTAGAAGAATCTGAATCATCAGTAAAAGAGATGTCTGAAGAGAATGAGGAAGACGGAAGTGAAAAGATTTGTGATCTGATTTCTAATTTATTTAACTTTAAATTTAATGTTTTAATTCTTGATTAAAGTATTCAATAAATAAAAACTATAATTATAACTATTAGCTATAAACATTAAATATTTATGATTGATTTTACTATCTAGTATATTTTAAGATCTAATAATCTTTTAATATTTTTGATTTTATTATTATCGTATTAAACATACTGTGCCTAGTTATAGAAAAAACTTATCCAATATATTTTATATTATTTTCTCTGCTCTTTTTTATAAATTATAAAATATGGAAATAATTTGTTAACAAATCACTTGTTATGAAACAATGTTTTATTTTCTAAATGTGTATTTTTTATGTAAATTCCTAAATTATAATTATTAATTTTATAAATAATAATGCAAAATAAACATTTTAAGGCTAGGTTCACATGGACGCGCGTTAGCACGCCACAGAACGCGCGTATAACCGTTCAGATGGCTGCGTATCACGCGCGTTGTACGGGAATATTCTAGTCAAAAACTATACTACTTAGTATAGTTCAAATTGTCATGAAGAATGAATGTGATAGATGCTGTGTGTTTATTGCCCGTCCACCGAAGGATGAGAAGATGCAGACAAATGACGGAAAGGAAATATTAGGTTCATCCTATTTTGAAAACAAGGCTTTCTTTAAGCCTTAGATTATTATTACATTATATTTAGTGCTACATTATATCCTAAATTAATAGAGCACCATAACAAATTTTTCAATTACTTTAAAATGTCCATTAAATCATTTAATGACCTATTGGAGATAATTAAAGACTCCTTAGAAGCTGATGACAATGTCCCAGATGGCAGACCATTTTTTTATTTCATTAATTAACATATCTATTTCAATTTCCATATTTAAAATAGCACTTGTTTTCAAAAGCTATAGATGAAAATTCGATCGTTCGCATCGAAACGCGCGTGTCAACTGAACGGTCCGATAATGATATATGATATTTCAATCCGCGGTGTTCGCGCGGAAATAGATTCTTGCATCATTATCGCGATCGACGCGTGTGTACGCGCGCCAAGTGAACGATGAATAAGAAATCCGTATATCTAAATACACGCGAAAAACTGGCGCGCGTACACGCGCATCCATGTGCACTTAGCTTAACTATTAATTCAATCTTCAGTGTGAACATATTTTAATGAATTGTAAATTTTTTTTATTAAGACCGCCT